ATTTTTTCTAAATTTTATTTTTTAAAGAGTTGAAGGATTTTTAAGTTTTATATTATATTATTAAAGATATACTTTCTGTATTATAAAATATTTAAAGTTTAAGTTTTACTAATTATTTATTAAGATTTGTTATTATTTTTATTAAGTATTAATTTTATTTAAATTAAAATCTCTAGATTAATAATGTAAAAATTAAAAAATATACATTTTAAAATTATCAAAATATATAGAATAAAATAAAAAATTATATAATTAAATTATATTAAATAATAGTAAAACAGGATAAAAATTTATATATTTAAAAGTTTAGAAAATTATAATAAAATATTTATAATTTTGATAAATAATAATTTTTTCATTTTGTTAAAAAATTTTATTTGATAAATTCTTAAAATAATAAAAAAAGTAATAGCCAGTTATTTTAAAATTTAAGATTTAATATTAATTTAAAAAATTTTAATTTTAATTTTATTATTTGTTTAATAATAAAATAATAATTATAAATTTTTAATATTTATTAAAAGAGATTTATTAATTTAATTTATTATAGTAATATAACTAAATAATATATTAAATAAATATCTTTTATAATTATATATTATTTATTTATAATGACAAAAACTGAATTTATTTTGTTGATTTAAAAATAATTAAAAGATAAATTTTAATTATTAATGTTAATATAAATATTAAAATTAAAAAACTAAATATAAATATAAATAAATATTTTATTATTATTATATTATTTTAAAAAAACTAAGTTTATAAATAAAATATCAACTATAGTAAAGAGTACATACCTTAATAAAATGAAAATTTAATTATTATTTTCTGATTTAATTTAATAAATATTTGATATAAAGCTTTATTATTATCTTTTATTATTATTATTTTTTTTTAACTAAATTAGTAAGTTTTTATAAGGTTTTTATAATAAATATATATTCATATTATTATATGATTGTAAAATTTATAATATAATTTCATTTTTTAAATAAAAACGAATTTGTATTATATATGTTATAATTTAAAAATATGATATTAAATAAATACATAAAACTGTGAACTTTAGATTCTTAAAATTCTTAAATAAATTAATATTTTTTTTTATTTGACTATACTTTTTTTAAGGATAGTAGATTTTAGATTATATATTTAATTATTATTATTATTAGAAAAATTAGAAAATTATTTTACTATTTTATATTATTATAGGAAAATCACTTTATTAAATATATAATTAGAAAAAAAGATTAATTAATTAAGAAGATAATTGATAATTTAATAATCAGGTGAAGAAAATATTTAACAGATTGATTCATTTAAAATAATTATTTTTATTTTATTTTATATATTAATTTTTTTACATTTTTATTATTGTAAGCTTTAGACAACAGTGAATGCCGGCCGGTATTCAATTTTGTAGATAGGAATTCATTTTAACATATGGATCTTATCAATTTAGAGAATTACGCGATAGATAAAGACTACTTTTTAAGTGTTTTGCACGAGAAGCTAAACTCTTAACTTTTTTTTACATATTAAAAAGAAAAGAATGCTTTAAAATTTCGACATTTGTTGGCGGCCCTTTAACAACGGTAGCAAATTCCAACTTCAGCATTCCAAGACAGGATTAACAATATAAATCTATTCTAAAAATATGTGTGGGTTTTATTTCTAATTACGTTTCTTGGAATTTATTATTTTTCGCCCTTTTCTATTCAAAACGCAAAAAAAACCAGGTGGTCATATGAATGTAAATATTTCCTGTTCTACAATATAATTACGATGTCAAGCCGTCCTAATGTACTAGAATATTCCAACTGGACTGCATGTCTTTATATGTTTTACTTGTTTGGAGGTTCCATGATGTCGTATGGATCGTTCGTGACTACCAACCGCTCCTATTGTATTGAAAAACCTCTTTCTGTTGCTTCGGTTACAGGAATGCCAAATGTTTTACTCAGTTTTACTTTTTTTTTTTTTTAGTGAAAATGTTCAGAACCGAACCAGGTCGCAAGCGATTATTGCGAGAAGATTCCGCAATAATTAATTCTTCGATTGGTATAATTTGTTTTTCTTCTAATAGATCAATGATAACGATAAGGACATTTTTTCCGAGAAATAACTGTATGAGCACGATGCATGTACTCATATGTGCGAAGCGGTAATGTGTGGGCGTAAAAACCATGCATCTGTTAATGTTTTTTAAAATAATCAAAGCAGGGCGTTCGCTAGGCACACTTAAGGAAGGAACATTCGTAAATCAGATCTTTGGGTCCCAAATGTAATATGTTACTTATAGTTTAGCCTTTATTTCTCAATAAAAATCATTTTACAAAAAAAAAAAAAATAGATTTTTTCACTGATTTTTTTTGCAATGAGTGGCTACAATTATGGATCGTAGAATAAATAAAAATACTTTTTCTAATTGAAACGATTTTTTTTCATGTCCTGCAACGAATCAGCCCATTTCTCAACTCTCTTATTTCACGAAATTTTTTTTTTTTTTTTGATGAAAAAGTTATGATAACAGATTTAACAGATTTAGATGTGCTACTATTGTTACACAAATTCACATTGTTAAAGATCGACAAAAGTGAATCCAAAAATTAAGAAACTCGTTCATAGAATTTATCTCTATGAATATGTTTCGTCGTAAACATCAATCACCCATGGAAATCGAAGCCCTGCTTAATAATATATATAATAATTCACAAAATTGGGATAATTAATGTCCAATTATCTCTTGCATTACGCATATTTCTAAACTCAACTGTCAAATTCGATTTTATAATGAAGGTTTTTAATACCTATTTTGGCTGGAACAATTGATAATCCTATATAAATGTAATCCACCACCTTTTCTAAAGACTAGAACACGATCAAAAAAAGTAGTAAACCTTGACAGCGCTTCAATTCTAATTTTGATGCTTCACTAATCAATTTTATCATTATTTTAATTTTAATAATTTTTTTTTTTTTTAATATTTTCAAAAATCTGCCTACCTGTTCTGAAACCTGACGATCAAAAATCGACCTATCAACATCCTGGCCTTGATGCAGATAAGTATAAAATGACATTTTGGAAAGAAAATACATATAATATGTAAAATGATTTGAATAACCCATATATTTGGTCTTTGATGGCGTTGCTCTTATTCTCTTCCAATTAACAGGTTACTTTACAACCAAATTGTCATTACTTGTTGGGAGGTGCTACTTTTCCCGCTACTTTCCAGGAGATGTTAAATAACCCTTAATGATGACGATGAGAGGATGGGATAATGTAGACGATAACAACGAAGAATAAGACGGCAACGACAACGATGACACAATTGACGACGATTACACTGACATCGAGATAAATAATGAATTTCTAATTGTCGTACACCATTGCATTATTTTGATTATGGCTTTGTAAATACGTTTAGAGCAAAGTGGGCTCCACAATATAAGTTTTCATAGATCTAGAATCTTATTTGCCATATTTAATGGTGAACCTAACAAGGTAACTATTTTTCTTTACTTCACATATGTTTAACAGAGAAGCGTTTGAAAATATCAAAATATGCGAACGGACTTTGTTATTCTTAACGAATTTGGAATATAAAGAATAAGTGAAACAGCGCATAGTTATTATGAATACGCCGTACATACCAATTCGAGCGCAATTTTTTATATGCTGATTTGAGATCACTTTTGAATTGCGTTATTAGCACGAGAAAATATCCATCAACTAGGGTAGTTCATTGGGGTGTTTCATCAACTAATTAAATCACAATTATGTAGGTATCGTATAAAAGCTTAAGATTTTACGGCATTAAACTATAGTACTATAATTAAACTTTCGTCTTTATAATAAATTTCTATTAAAATTAGCCCATAACTCTGGATTCTTTTATTATCTTCGTTCTAATTTCACAAAATATTCAAAATAACTGTCCCTTTATGATAAACACTTACTTTTTTCAAAAAAGATCGTTCACACTAGGGTTAATTTCCAAGTTGTTTTTCACTAGTAAAAAATTTTTTTTCTTTCAAAAAAGCGAGGTGTCATGTTATTCTTTAAGTAATTATGTATTTATTTGTATTTGTATTTCGTCTAAATATTAATTCAAACGCAAGTTATCGAATTTTTAAATTTTGTCAAAAATTCCAATTGAACCGGTAAATCAAAATGATTGTCAAAAAATCTCTAATAACGTACCCCAGTAGGTCATGGTCGGTTAACGGATCGATTTTAACTAATTGATTGACCGTTTAACAGTAATGCAGGATCATTTTTAGAATCATTTTATAACATTGCATTTGTTTTAACATTTCCATGCATAAAAAAAAATTTTTTTTGATTCAGTTAGACTTATTTACGTCATGACGATTTTTACCTTACGATATTTAGTGGCGCAGCATTATCGGACAGTAATAATGTTTTGAAATGACTAATTATTAATTAGTAAACTAAGAATTCATGTATCGATTATGACTAAGAAATTACATGTGATATATTTCAGCCTTTACAATTTGCTTATTAATTATACAAAAAAAGAATAATGGCGTAGTAGATATACAGTATTTATCTAGATGCCGATTTTTTGAAAATGCAATAAATTTGGTATGAAATGGCTTATAAGGGTTATAATTTTTACTTATATAGAACCAGAAATGATATCCTTAATAAAGTAATTAATTCATTTTATCATTTGCATAATGAGAGGATAAAAAACATCGAAATGATAAACAATATTATGACATTCTTTGCTAAATTTATGCATCACATTTAATAATCTCAATGAGTTGGTTTCCTTCTCGATATAAACTTCAATGGCATCAATTTTTTTTTTATAAATATTCCTCATTAGCAAAAACAAAATTAAAACGCGTTTAAAAGATGATATCCCAACCTTGAAAAATAATTTTAACAAAAGATTTTTATATACTAACAACCTCAACTTGATAAAATATAATTTTAACACCTTTTGAATTAACTATATTAAGTAATGCAACGCGCAAAAATTCCAAAAGTTATTATTATCGGTGCAGGTCTAGGAGGACTTGCTCTTTATCATGCATTGATAAAGAACAAAGATATAAAAGAATTCGATGTAAAAATCTTCGAAAGGGATTCTAGCCCAAGAGGTAGATATAAGAGATTTCTTATGTTCATAATTGATCCTGTTTCTTTAAAAACGTGATGTTAACTAACTCGATGAACTATTATAGAACGATGGCAAGGATATCATATAGCGTTGAACTTTTACGGAATTCGATCGCTTTTGAATTGTGTACCATCTTCGATCACTTCAAACCTTCAAAGAGCGATGCCAAATCCACTTCCTGACGTAGAATTCCATGGATTCTCGCTTTTCGATAATACAGGAAGACTTTTAATAACTTTTCCAGCTAAACAATTTAAAGACTTTAACGAACTTGTAAAAGTTCCTGATAAGTTTTCAATGAACATTACTTATCGTGATAGACTTAGAGATGTATTATTAGAAAGTGTACCGGTACACTGGGACAAAATATGCATTAGATACGAAGAAACCAAAGATGGTGTTTGGGTAATGTTTGATGATGGTTCGCAAGAATATTGTGATATCTTGGTTGGCGCAGATGGAATCAATTCTCCAGGTAAACTTAATAAATTCCCTTGATAATATATAATAAAATAATTAATTTGTGTTTTTTTTCTTACGTTTCTTTTTAGTTCGAAAACAGAGACTACCCGAATTACAAATTTTCGATTTTGGATTAACACATATGGTTTCAAATATTGCAGTACCTAAACATCTTATGGACAGATTCATAAAGTTACAAGGAAATAGTTTATTACAAAAGTCTCTCGGATTACATGGTGATTCGTCAACGCTTCTTTTTCGTCTAATCCCAATCGAGCAAGAGCCGGTTTATGAGAATAAAGGCAATTATAATGAGCCTCATTACAGAGTAACCTTGAATTATTCGTATCCCACAAAATTAGACGACGTTGAATCCGATAAAATCAAAGTTGA